AAGCTGAAGAAGCGATACTGATGAACTGGAAATCTCAAGCAACTGCAAGTGATATGTCTGTCCTTGACAAACCTGAGGTGATCTTCCCTGTTATTGAGGTTGGACATTTCTGTTCTGACTGGATCACTGTTAAAAACCCGAGTCAGAAACCCGTTCTTATGCAGTTGATCTTAAATTCTGCAGAAATTATTGATGAATGTGGGTCCCCAGAAATGCATTTGCAGGGGGCTTCTCAATCACATTCTTTAATGGGTACAAACAATTCTATTACTCCAACAAGATATGGGTTCTCCATGGACAAAAATGCAGTGAGTGAGGCTCTTGTCCATCCTCTCGGGGTAGCATCTTTAGGTCCTGTTTGGTTTCGACCCGGATCTCAATGCAGTTGGAAAACTTCAATTCTAATACGAAACAACCTTTCTGGTTTAGAATGGGTTTCTGTCAGTGGGATTGGAGGGTCACTCCTTATGGTTTTGGTTCAAGAAGATTCTGAACCTATTCAAAATCTTGAATTCAAGATGAGCTCCCAAAGCTCTTTCAATTCATCTTTTCCAAGCACACTTGAGGGGGATGGAAAATCTTCTACGGGATGCTCTCAAGTATTGACAAGAGAGGTTTATGCAAAGAATATAGGCAATCTTCCCTTGAAGGTCATAAAAATTGGGATTTCCGGGACAGAATGTCAGTTGGATGGTTTTTCTGTAAATTCATGCAAAGGGTTTTCTCTATCGCCCGGGGAAACACAAAAGATAGTGATATCTTATCAGTCCGATTTTTCGCTAGCCACAATACAAAGAGATCTTGAGCTGTCTTTGAGTAATGGCATTCTTGTAATACCAATGAAAGCCGCTCTTCCATTATACTTCATTAGTATATGCAAACGGACATTTTCGGAAAGATTAAGGATGTCTCTCCTTCCAATATTTCTGGTTTCCTCTCTTTTGTTTCTCTTTAGAACTTACCTAATTAGGAAACCCCAAGATTTCTATATTCCAAAGAGTGGGAACGGCTATTCAAGAAGCAGGAAAGCAGCAAAGTGTCCTACCGTTGGACAGGAGAAAGAAACTGTCGTGTGGGAGCCCCAAAAGAAGATTGTTTATAGTGAGAGCTTAGATACACGAGAGCCGCCACAGGTTGGGCACAATAATCTCACGGTCAAAGTTGGAAACGAGAAAGGGAGAAGGAAGAGAAAGAAGAAAGGTTCTTCCAGTGGTGGAGGACTGAATGCTCTTCTCGATGTCTCCAATAGTGGGAATTCTACACCATCATCTTCGTCCCCTGGGCCCCAGTCTCCGGTTTGCAATCGTATACTGTCCGAACCCATACATAATAGAGTAGAGCTTCACGAGAAGGAGGCATCCTTGAAGTTGAGAAATGACAAGCCTGCCATTACTGCTACAACCATTACTACTCAAAAGAAGAATCTAGATGATAACACTCCTGATACAGTTCCTCTAAATGGCGGCATGCCTGTCTCGTATGCTGAATCTATTGTGGTTTCGCCACCTGCAAGGGCCCCGGGGTCGGGACTTCGAGCTCGAGAAGGGGTCAAAAGTGGGGAAACAAAAGGGTGGGGCGAAAGGTTTGTTGTGTATGATATATGGGGTGATCACCTGTTTGGTGGACATCCTGTGACAAAGGATGTTCTGCCAAAGACAGCCCCAGTTGTAGAAAACAACTCCTCTGATAGCTTCTTTGTAATGGGTCCACAAATCCTAATGACCAACAATTCCAAACAGAAAGTTGTAACAGATCATGATGGTTGATATAATAAGTTGTTTTAACTTTTAAGACTTAACTTCATCATATTAGTGATGAACCCGGTTCGGGCCACCAGGCCTGGGAACCGGCCCTGCCCGGTACTGTGCTGGCCCGGCCCGGGAACCGGGTACCGGTTCCGGGTCATTGGTCCGGTTTAGGGAGGGTAGCGGGCCGGGTACGGGTATGGGGAAAATGGAACCGGCCCGGCCGGTTCCGGGCCCGGTTCGGGCTTAATTCTATTTTTTTTTAATTTTTTTTAACTTTCCGGGTTGGGCTGGGTATTTTGGGCCATTTGGGCTGATTTGGGGGTGGGGTGAGGGGGGTCGGGGGTTAATTAGAAAAAGCCAAAAAAAAAATAATATAGAGAGGGCCCGACCCGGCCCGGACCTGCTGGATACCCGGGCCAGTCCCGGGCCCAACCCCAAATCCCAGAAAGCCTGCCGGGCCTAGGCCTGATCCGGGCCCGACCCGGCCTGAATCCAACCCTGCATCATATCCACCCAATCCTTCTGAGGTCAATAACTTACCAACTTCTCATGATAAGTGATTGTGATAAAAAAAAATCACCTCCACAGTTATAAAGTTTTTTTTCCTTGACAACGCACACCCCAATGATATATAGGTACGGACGTCGTCTTTCAAGCTCCAATCGAATCTTCAGTATATTTCACATGCATTGTATCCCCAATTAGATTTCATGAAACCTATTAAAATGATGACCAGAATCATCCTAACCTTCTGTGTTCGCTTCTGTACCACACCACTTTATCTCTTAGCTAACTTGAAGCGTAAACACCGTTGTTCCAATTTTATCGAATGAGTAAATACGTAATAAGTATTATTACTTTGGCTAACCGGTGAATTTGAAGGTATTGTCGTGTGATTCAAAGGTCACGACTTCTTTATTTCATTTTATTTTTATCGAGGAAGACTTGTCCCTTAAAAGCCATATGGATCCCTCCCTGGACCCTTGCCTCATGGGATACCTTCATCCACTTGACTACCATTTTTAAATAAATATTAACATACATATAACAACATAAAAATAGTTATATTTTAGGGAAAACTGTATATATAAACTCAATGTTTTGGTATCAATGGAACTTGTTAGCTTTGGAAATACGAGTAATAGGTATGTACAACTTTAGAGTTGTTCTCGATGTACACAAAAAGTATGCACTTTTTGTACGAGTAATAGCTGAGTGTTTCTAATCGAGTTGATGGAATACACAAGGGATGAGCATAAATACCGAACCGAACCAATACTGACCCGACCCGTAATGGTACCGCACCAAATATCAAGTATTTAAATGGTTCTATAAAATTTTATTCCAATCCGAAACCGTACCATTTAAAACGAGTACCATTTAAATGGAACAATATCGGACCGGACCTTTACAAACTAATACATGTGACATTTTTATATTTTTTCCATCCAAATAAATATCTTGTTTAGACCAATATTTTTATAGCCCAAGTATGGTTTCATTTTTCATTAAATTACTAGTTTCATATGTTCATTCATGTTAACAGACTTCAAAATATTTCGAGTTTGAAGTACATATATTATCATTTCCCAAGTGTTGGGATAAGTGACCCAATACAGGATCGGCCCAATACCCCATAAGGATGAAAGGGCAGAGTAACGGCCCAGAAGACGAGACTGACACTCATGCTAGGTGCCCGACCCTCATCGCCAATATCCTTCTCCAGTTAAGGCCAGATTACCCTTTGAGGGCCTCAGTTGGGATGCTCGGCGTGGACCGAGCGGCATCCCTGGCCTTGGACCTGCTTGAATCCAGAACCAAGGGGCTCAGAGATGATCGTTCGGGACAATGGCTGGGAAAGTCAAATATTTGCGGCAAACACATTTAATGCAATAGATTTAATGGTTGGGAAGCTGGCCACTCATGATCCTCCACATCACCACTACTACCTACCACATTGTGCTATAAGATCATCCACATTGATGATCTTCAACTTTACGGTTTTTCATGGCTTATTATTGTCATGTCACCTCCACATAAGATAATCTCAAATAATCTCTAAATCAATAAATTTATCCCCATTCATGATCTTAATTTACCTTGAATAGGAGCATGAACATTCACGAACTACAAAGCTAGTCATCACCATAATTATGAGTATATCCCTAGAAGTTGGAAATCATCTCAAAATAATCCAGCTTTAGAATTTGATACCAGATTATTTTATCAAATAATCTCATAAAATAATCTCAACTCCTTATCCATGATCCAAAAAAAATCTTCCACATCATCAAAATGATCCCAAAAATAATCCATGGACGTGGATGCCCTAAATAGCAACATTTATTTCATAGTTAGGAGTTTTTAGCAACTTGTATTCTCTAGCTATGGGCGTGATTCCCTTTTATTCTCAGTTCTGAGTTTACGATCGGTTAATAATAGGGTGTGCTGTAATTGTTCATTATTATTGCTTAATAAAAACTCGGCCCACTTACTATAACTTTCTTTTTATTACCATTTTCTTGTGCTAAATCATACACCCAGTCCATCAATATATCCTACGAAATTCAAAGGTGTCGGACCTTTCAATTAGTCATCATATTGAAATGTAAGGCTCACGTTTCTGAGATTGTAAACATCACAACCGAATTGAGAGATGTGTTGTAAATGTCATTCTCATCGTTCATAATCCATCTCCAATTTAGGACTATCAATAATTTCAAAAGCATTGGTCTCACATTTCAATATTTTGAATATGGTGACAAACCAAGACATCAAAAATGCGATTTTTCCTACAGACTTCCTATTAATTAGAATTGACATAAGTTGTTGTCTGTGTTGCTATTACCACTACTATTACTAGTTTAAATATATATATATATATATATATATATATATATATATATATATATATAGAGAGAGAGAGAGAGAGAGAGAGAGTACTCTTCCGGTCAGGTATACCTGACTACCTGACCGGAGCCCCGTCCGACCTCCTCCATTTGGGGGCCTTCCCGGTGGTATTTTTTGCTCAAATTTTTTATGTAGGTTCCTCATCAAGTCTAGTTCATCCATATCAAATTTCAGCCAAAACTTCAATCGGGAAGGTCGTCAAATGATTTTTGCAAGTTAACTGGTCCGGAAAATACATATTTGGTATTTGGTATGGATGAACTAGACTTGATGAGGAACCTACACAAAAAATTTGAGCAAACAATACCAGCGGGAAGACCCCCAAATGGAGGAGGCCGGACGGGGGGAGTAGTCCGGCCTGGCCGGACCTGAATATTAGTCATATATATATATATATATATATATATTAATGAAATAGTCCAACTAATATATTAACTCAAAATAACGTTCGTCACATGGCTGATAAACAATCAAAGAAAAGAAGTAAACAAAACGATAAAAAGCCTCATGCTTGCAGTCCGCCCTCGAACCAGACTGAGAATCTATCACCTCTGTAGAAACAATAACATTCGTTGGTCCTGTAATGGACTTAACTGAGCCAATGACTTGCAAACCAGATTTCTCATCGCATAACCTAAACTCAAGAATATCTCTGCTAGGAAAAAAGAACATGTCCAAAACAACGTGCAACTCGATAAAAAAACACAAACTGAATAAAACGAAATTAAAATAGAATTCACCCATCTTCTTCCAAACCCTAGATTTGTTTGCACTCCATGACGGCGACTCAGGAGGGGGACGCGCCCGCCGTTCATCCCCCACAACTTCAACATCAATTTTATTAAGATCCAGTTCTTCTTCCTCTGCGCCAATCGCCATCGCCTTGTACTTGTCCACAAAGCTTTCCGGGCCGAAAAGAGAAAACTCAATCGAATTTCCGAAACTCGTTCCACCTCCATACCCGCCTACGAAGCGGGGCTGCAGCGAGAGAACTTTTCTCTACACAACCGTCGACACTCCCTCGACCCCGAGCCATGATCAAGAAACACCAATCCGAACAACCACCGACGATCTACACTGTCTGTAACAGCAAAACGCAGACGCAAATCCAAAGCTCGGTGTTAAACTTTTATCTACTTATTTTTTTAATACTTAGTTTAAATATCTATATTAAAATTGGCATAATTCAGTTTAATTTTGTGAGTAGATGAAGAAAGTGAAAAGTGAAATAATTAAGAAGATATACTCTTCGAGCCTGTTTGGTAGCACGAAAATCGGTTGATTTGGTTGATTTTGCTGAAATTTATGAAACTCTGGCTGCATTGACTTATTATGCTGATTTAAGAAAAAATTGGTTTTAAAATATATATTATATAAATAAAATAAAGAAAAAATTATATATAAAAATAGCTAAAATGGTCGTCTACAGTAACTTCAGCCAATGCACCTAGAAAAGTAACTCCGACCTTACTTTTTCTGCTTATTGCATAATTCAACGCGCGAAAGCAAAAGTTACTTGTTTGGTGAAAAAGTTGGCTGATAAACCTGATAAGCGAAAATCAACGTTGCCAAACAAGCTCTTTTGTTTTAAAACATAGTGAGATGTGAAACCATGGAGAGATATAAAGACGCCAACCCTGCTATAGGTATCCCAGTTGGTATCCCAATTTATACCCCAACCTATTTTTGTGGTTCACAAAAGTCCACCTCAATAAATGAATTGCCCCATTGACACAAAAATTAGGGTACTACCAATGCCTACAAACGGGTATTGTGTGTTACACCGTACCTTTGGTATCTCTCGTCCCTCCAACATTCTCCTTCACTTCTTCTCTCTGAATCAAAGCACCGAACACGTTACCGTCGCAAACATTAGCAGAAGAAGTAGAAGGAATACTTCAAAAATGCGTAACAAGCCGGGGAGCTCGGGTCGAGGAATTGCCGCCATAGTCGGCGTGGGACCCGATCTAGGCCGATCCATCGCCCGGAAGTTCGCGCACGAAGGATACACCGTCGCAATCTTAGCCAGAGACTTGGGAAGACTGTCTCGGTTTGCGGACGAGATAGCTCGAGAAGAAAAATCTCAGGTATTCGCCATCCGGATCGACTGCTCGGAGTGCCGGAGCATACGAGAAGCATTCGAGGGCGTTCTCTCTCTCGGATTCGTCGAAGTGTTGGTGTACAATGTGTACCACCAGCTCTCTTGGCTCGCTACCAATTTCACAGATGTTAGGGTTGAGAACTTCGAGAAATCTATGGCGTCCTCCGCCGTCGGAGCGTTCCTCTGTTCGCAGCAGGTGATTCCGGGCATGGTGGAGAGAGGAAGAGGGACTATTATCTTCACTGGTTGCTCTGCTTCACTCACCGGCATTGCTGGATTTTCCGAATTATGTATGTATCGATTCGCGATTTCTTTCAATTCAAACTAAAATTAACATAACAAATCCTTATAATCTCATATATCGATCATCTTTCTGTATATTTCAAATAATCATGAAAGGTTGTGGGAAATTTGCACTGAGAGGATTATCGCAGTGTCTGGCGAGAGAGTTCCAACCTCAGGGGATACACGTGGCGCACGTCGTCATCGACGGCATCGTTGGCTCGCCCAGGTATGCGCTTCCTTTAACAATTTATCGTTTATTTTCACTATTGATGATTGTATTTGTTACTTTAAAAAAAATTGTTTGACTGTGTTTGATAAAATTAGATGATTACTTGACAATATGCAGACCGACATGAATGAGTATGAACATATGCTTTTCAATCTATTATACGAAGTATACCATTATTTTTTATCAGAAAGATATACGTGAAGTCTCGAACCTGTGATCTCCTTCTCTGCCACAATGTGTTTGTCACATGGAGAGTTATTAATAATCCTTAACATTTTAACCGTTTTATCGAATATAAATGTAAATTCTTGAAATACAGAGTAATTTAATACAGAGTACTCCGTAACAATTTTTTTTATTCATCTATTTATTACTCTGGAATCTATAATTTTAGAGTAGTTTTTTAAAAATAAATTACGGACTACGGAGTATATTTTATTATAGATTTGTAATAATATTATACGGAGTAGTATTATGTAAATTAAAGTAATTGATTCGAAAACCCAATGCCTTCATTTATTAAATATTTGTAAGACTAATCAAATATTACATCTTTCATAACAAGTTTTTCCTTTCTGTATTTGGATATTTTTTTTTTTTTACTCCAGGGGGTCTGGGGGAGCCTGGAGTAATAGGGGCTGAAACTCACTCCATGTCTGAAAGTGAAACTCTAATTTCCCTAAAATGGAAAATTTAAAGACAAAATGTCTCATGTCTCTCACCTTGAATTTTTGCTGACATTTTTTCAGCTTGACATAAATCAAGGCCATACTTGAAAAGTTTAAACAACCGTTACGTATATGTGTAGATCAAGTGACCTGGTTACTCGCCAACCATGCGAATGACAGATCACCCGGCCGTGCAAAAAGAATGATACACCTAATAATACTCCGTTTATATATACTAAATTAAAGTAAAAAGTAACTATTTTGTATTATAATCAATTCATATTAAAAAGAATGATACACCTAATAATACTCCGTTTATATATACTAAATTAATACTTCCTCCGTCCCTAATAACTTTGCCAAGTTTGACCGGCGGGAATTAATAAAGTAAAAACTGTGTGGTTGAGGTTTGTGCAGAGGAGAGAGAACTAACTGGAACCACAAATTCTTTACTTAAATGGGAAAGTGGCAAAGTTATTGGGACATCCAAAAATGGAAAGTTGGCAAAGTTATAAGGGACGGAGGGAGTACGTTACAAGCTTCAAAAACACGCATGACAGTCACAATCGTAACTTTCAATCCTTTCTTGACAATGATTGACAAATAATTTATCTGGTTATATTTGCTTTTGTAAGTTTTTGAAATCATTTTGGCACAATTATCATTTTGATCTTCTTTTATGAAAATGAAAACTATAGATATACTAACTAAACAAACAAACGCAATGATTTCAACGTCAGCTTTACGGGTCGACTGGGGTTTATTAGTCTAAGGTCGGAATCAAGATGAACCGAGTCGGCTGGGTCCTCATAATACGGAGTATGATTCTTGCTGGATTTGCCAACTGGATTTCTGGGTTGTTAATCGACCTAGAGGCATCTCCGTTTTTTAATCATTGAGAAGTAGATAACACAAATGATTGAAAAGCGATCAAATGATAAAATAACAACAATAATGGATACTTATTTAGTTATTTGGAATCGACTGAATTCCTAAAAGCTGTCCTTCAGCTTTTCAAGGCTTAGCATATTGAGACCTGGAGCCAAGCTTATCCCCAAGTTACCACTTACCACACATAATCCTTAGTTGCTAGATTTGGCAAATGAAGTGAAATTAGTCAACCCAACAGAAAATATATGATCTGCCATTTATCATCACAATTCTTAGTTCTTTACTGTTGCTATGTAAATTTTTTGAGTTAAAATTCTTCAGAGTTTGATCCCCTAACCCATTTGAGTTTGATTGGTTCAGACTTCAGACAAAGTGAAACAAAAAATAAGTGGACCCAAGTTACTCAAATAACGGGTGTAATAAAGGATGGTGTTGGGGTGTATAAAAGAGCGTAATGTACTAATGTTGTAAAGCTCGTAAATATAACTATACAAATTGCTTCAAATAGTACTAAAGTATATAGGCAAAGTGCCTAGATATGAGTACTAAAATATAGACATAAACTAATCATATATGGAGTACAGTTTAATGTAAAGTAGCATCACTTATAGTTATAGAGTTATAGTTATAATAATATGTATATGCATATACAGGGGAGCATCAGTGGCAGCATGGCAACAACAGGGAGGGGATGATTTGTCAATGGACCCAGAAGCTCTGGCCAACACCTACTGGCACTTGCACATTCAACACCGATCTGCATGGACCCAAGAGTTGAATATTCGTCCTTCCAACCCAACCCTCCCCCCTCCCTCCTATACATCTCAACTCTCCTCTTCTTCTGTACAACAAATTCATCCAACACCATGCCATGACAATTGATCAAATTATTGTTTTGAACTATTCCCAATCATCATAAAGGATCGCAATGTGTGTGTGTTCGTTCATTGGGGAGGAGGACATGGTCCGGTTTTGGTACCGTTCTAGTATTGGATCGTTGGTTTGAATAATCAAGATTCTTATTCGGTATCCAAAACTTCTGGTTCTGGCTCGGGTTCTTAACAACGACAATAATTCTAATTTTGGAAGGTCCCCAAGTCCTTCACTTGGTTGCAAGGTTCCGGTCCTGTGTGGTTCTGATTTTGATTAAGAAACATATCAACCCCCACTGTTTCTTGCCTTCTTGCTTGCGGTAAATACTCATGTTGGATTATCCGAATGGATCAATGATGTGAAATGATTAAAAAGGAAATAATTTAGCGCCAAAACTGAGGTGTCATGGAATGCTCCTGCGAATTCATATCTATACTCAATTCATATATGTGTTGTTGGTCGTCATTGTTTTCACAAACTTAAATTTGAGATTTTGAGTCATTTTATGTTATACTTTGAGGCATTATCAGATTAGTGCAAATTCTTTAGAATTGATACAAATATTTTTGAATAATGCACCAAGTTGGGATCGATTTGTTTTATGAAATACGGAGTACATCTGTCTTCAGAACATACTTCGAATGATTTGTAGTAGTGCTGGACTCGGGCCGGGCGGCCCGAACCGGAACCGGCCCGGCCCGGTTACTGTGTGAACCGGCCCGGCCCTGTGGCCCGGTCCACCGGCGGTTCGGGTCGAACTGGCCCGGTGGATACCGGTTCCGGGCCCGGGCCCTCCATTTGGTGAACCAGCCCGGCCGGTTCGGGCCCAGTCCGGGCCGGAATAATTTTTTTTTATTTTTTTTTGAAATTTTTTTAATTTTTGGGTTGGATTAGGTATTTTGGGCCATTTGAGGTGGTTTGGGGTGGTTTGGGGTTGAGGGGGAGGGGGTTAAATAAGAGAAGCCAAAAAAAAAAATGGGACGGGTGAACCGGCCCGGAACCGGCCCGGTCTGGCCCGGAACCGGTCACCGTCCGGTTCGGGCCCGGGCCCTCCTTTTGGTGAACCGAGGCCCGGCCGGTTCAAGGCCCGAACCGGGCCCGGCCCGAACCGAGTCCAGCCCTAATTTATAGTAATAGCATGTTTAAATGAAAATAGAGATATTTGAGCGAATATTATTTGGATATGTTTTTGGAAAGATACATGACAATAGACTCTCTTGAGAATATCTCGATTTTTTTTATCAAACCATAAATCTAGTGAATAATTTTTAGTTTTTTTTTAAAATACTAAAATAAATCTAAATCTTATTTACACAAACCATATGCAGCATTTACCTCTTGAGTACATGCTAGGGGTGGACTCGGGCCGGGCGGCCCGGCCCGGAACCGGCCCGGCCCGGCCCGGGGCCCGGTGGGTCCACCGGTTCGGCCCGGCCCGGCTGCTGGGCGGTTCGGGCTCGGGCCCAGTTTTTGGTGAACCGGCCCGGCCCGGCCGGTTCGGGCCCAGTTCGGGCCGGTTTTTAATTTTTTTTGTTTTTAAATTTTTTTTTAAGTTTTGGGTTGGATTAGGTATTTTGGGCCATTTGAGGTGGTTTGGGGTGGTTTGGGGTTGAGGGGGAGGGGTTAAATAGAAGAGCCAAAAAAAAAAAAAGAACCGGTTAGGCCTGGCCCGGCCCGGTTTGGCCCGGAACCGCCCACCGGCGGTTCGGGCTCGGGCCCAACTTTCCTGGCCCGAGGCACGGCCGGGCCCAGGCCCGAACCTGCCCGAGTCCACCCCTAGTACATGCACCGTTTGGTTATCTCTAGCAAACCATATGCAGCATTTACCT